TAGAGCAACTCTGTTACTTACCTCGTCGTCGTCTTTGACAGAACACTGACATAGCGAATGGACATCCTTGCCACTCGTACCAAGGCCTTAGCCGCCTTTATCTCCCTCAAACCTTTCTTCCAAAATAGCTCCATCTCCCATCAAACAAACATATGTGCGTTCAACGCAATTATCAGAAGCATTTACTGTTACGCCATCCCCATTTGGGGCTGTGCCGATTCTCACTGACTACCCAACTCATCCGAGGTGGGCCATCGATTCCCTATGCTTCCTTCCTACACCCATTCCTCTTCCCACTCCTAACCTCTTCCCACTCTTTCCTGGAACGTATAATCTCCGGGTTAATCTCTCTACTAGAGGAGGGGTTTTAGTTGGTAGGCGCTTCGGCGAATCCGACACTATCCCCATCCAGGGGGTGTCTATTGAAGATTTCCCCTCGAAGAATATACATACGGTTATTAGGTCCTTCCTCTCAGACAAAAGCTTCGGGTCCGCGATAGCTCTGTTCTTTCTGCCAGTAAACCCGTCACAGACGGTGCCCCACAAGGCTCCAAATTATCTCCCATTCCTTTTAACCTGTTTTGCTCGGACATTCCCTCACACACTTCGATTCTGACTACTCTTTACACTGACGACATTGCCCTCAACTTTTCCCAAACCATTCTACAAAGCACAGCGAGGATTAATAAAATTCTGCTCCTAATCCTAAACTGGTATCGGACATGAAAACTTACCATTAACGAGGCCAAATCGGAAGCAACTTTCTTCTAAGGTAGGTCCCGAAAACCTCCCTACATCATCGTAAACAACCGCCCCATTAAAAGGAGCAACTTCGTCACATACTTAGGGGTCGTCTTCGACAGAGCCTTACATTGGCGGCGCCTTATCTCAGTTACCCGTAATAAGGTTATTGGTGTATTCATCGCACTTGTACCTTTCATTTGAAATAACTCCACCTCCCAACAAACGAAAATCCGTAAGTTTCTCGCAATCATCAGGAGCATATGCTCCTACGCCATCCTCATCTGAGGCTGCACCCATCCCCGACGCATTCAAGTCACTTACATGGCGATTTTGTCAGTCACCCAAACCCGTCTATCTCGACATTTTCCGACTTCACCCCTAAACCAAACGACCATTTCAGAAGGCCTTGCCACCTTCTTTTCTGAGATGCTCACCTTTGCTCAATTCTAGTTCTTTTTTTTAGCATGAGTGCCCACTCTACTTTTCCGCGGTGGGACACTGATTCCCCCGCCCGAAAAGCACTCCTTCTCCCACTCAGACATCTCCCCTTTTTCAAACTCACCAACAAACCTTCCCTTGGGATGTATAACCACTCTAAAGTAATCCCAGTACCTAGCTGTAAAAACCGGAAGAAATTTCCGCCTCACCACCCTGTCTGTGTAATTCTCGCTTTACTGTTTCATCATTCGATTTTTTTTGTGTTTGTATTTGTGAATTTTGACTCTCATACTTTTGAAGGTTACAAACGAACAACTCGAAAGGAATTAAAGAAGTTCTTGGGACTATGCAAATCACTGCGAGAATACTTGCCTCGTTTCGCAGATGTCTCAGCTTCATTTACGGATCTTTTCAGTACCTCAGCAACCGCTTTACTTACACCGGCCAGATTTCGCGAAGACATTTATCCTACAAACAGATGCCATTAAACACGGAGACATCACCGTTGTATACCAGGAAGGGCTTGTAGGAGAAAGGCGAATCATCTATCATGCCAGTACCCGATTCAATCTCGCGGAACAAGCATACTATGATAAAGAGCAGGGATGCCTAGCCATTGATTGGGCTATCAAAAACTACCGCCATTATTTAGCAAACAAGCGATTCATTTTAAGAACTGATAATCGCACTATTACGTGGCTGCAAAACATGGAGGATGCTCGCGCAAAATTGACCAGGTGGACATTCTTGCAAGAGTTTACCTTTACCTAGGAACCATCAACCATCTACCCGACGCTTTATTGCGCCTACCCGTTGAGGAGCCGCTACCTCTGGACAGCGATGACACCAGCCGTCTTCACCCACTCTCCAGTAACAACTCTGCTGTTCCTAGTGTATTACAAATTCAAACCGAAACGCTCCTCGACGAAATTAGGAGAGAACAATAGCTTGATCCAAGCGTAATTCAACTTCGGCAGCGTCATAAATTTCTTGTTATCGTCCGTTTACTAGAGCCAGAAGTCTTCCATTCCAGTTATCCTCGAGCGATTCTTACGGATAACGGAGCCCAATTTACGAGTCAAGGTTAGAAATCCGCTTGTATAAAATGGAGAGCGCGACATCAACTAGAGTATCAACAACAAAGAGCTGTGGCCGAACCAAGAGAACTGCATCCGTGCCGACCAACTTGTTACTGCAGAGAGCATCACCTTTCTAGTGCCAAAAATTATTTCCATGCTGAGTTTGCCCCACGATGGTCAAGTTTTCATCCAGTCTGGGGTGCAAAAGGACGTCCACTCCGCTTGACGAGGAATAGGGTTCTCTCTCTATAGCGAAACCGATTCTTTGAACCCAATTACTGAAAGGTACACAAGCAAGTGTAAGGATTTTTCTATCCTTACTGGCCCTCGTTAGCACACCGGCTTTGCCCGCTATTAACCCTCCGCCTACTTGAATCACGAATTCACCGACCATTCTTGTTGACTACTGCTTTTTCCTATGACGTCCCTATTTAATTCCCTTGTCTAATTACGTACCTGGTCCACCCCTTGCTACAACCAAACTTGTACACAACAACTCTCTTCTATCTATTTTAACTTTTCGCTAATTTATTTATTTTGTTTTTATAATTACTTTTTCTCTTTGTTTTCCTATTTCCTTATTCCTTATTTTCTTATTTGGTTGCAGTTGCCGTCTGATGTTCCTCTCATCTTTTTGCTTGTGTTTCTTTCTTTTTTATCGTTTTTCTTAACGTTCTTATTTTCTATTTTGTTAATTATAATATTTTTAATCACAGTAACACACTTCTTTTTTCTAATCCTATGTTTTCATGCATACCTAGTCTTTTCTCACCATCTATATTTTTCTAAAATAGAAATCCACTTTAAAAAACCTAACCATTTTAATGTCCGTTTTTGCCCTTCCTTTACAATCCCAGTCTCAACTTCACTTTTCACCAAACCTTGCTTGGTACTGAGGTTGGTATGTATATATGACCACGTTTTCGTTTGTACCTACCGACTGGAGATTTAGACCATTGCTTAGCATTCGAGAGGACCCCGGTTGGATTCCGATTCGTCTACGTTGGTTAAAGTTTTTCTGTAGTTTCCTTGCATCACTTAGTCAAATGCTGGGGAAGTAATATTCCACAGATAATCTTACATTCTCTTCTACTCATCTTTCTCACCCGATCCACCACCCACCCATTCTCACGATTCCTGAAAGGAGGCTAAAGAGGGCCTTCCAACCTACCTTTTGGCGTAGTCCACCATTATTGGCTGGTAAGAATAAAAGTACCGATACACTTCGACGTTTCACCTACCCAGGCAAGAAAGAGGGAGTAAGCTAAAAACCAACCTTACTACCCTATAGTAAGCCTAGTGACTAGCTGTGAAGGAAGGCATTTCCGCCTCATCGCCGTGTCAGTCTAAATCTCGCTTTACCGTTTCACCATTTGACTTTTTTTGTCTTTGTATTTGTGAATTTTGACTGTCATACTTTTGATCGTTAGTTTTAAGTTATAATTATATATTTTTACTCTTGGCCGATATTTTTCATGCTTGCTGGCTGTGTGCGTTCGGAACGTAAATTTAATATGTATTTGACACCTTGTCTTCCTGATATTTAAATTGTTACTTCTTTCAACAGATTCATGTAAATATACTTTCGGTACATTGTTATTCTCCGCATTCCATACTTTGCCCGATCACACAGTTTCAGTTATTATATTTTTTTATATATACTTAAGTTGTGAATGTTAAAATTGTATATTATATAAATAAAAGTGTAAATAGTAAGCTACAGTATTGTTCATATCGTTTAGTGGTACATCAATATTTATGACAATTGCAAGTTTGTATTTTCAACTGTTTAAGCATTTGAAACTCTAGTGAATCGTTGCTGTCGTTTTTCGAACAGCCCTAAATTAATTAAGTAATTATCGGATGCTTCGTCTTCTTCAGGTCCCTAAGTAATTAGCAGTTGGAGTGTTCTGTAAATACAAGGTACGAGTAGATGCAAGTCGAAAGCTGAAAATTCCATTCAAACGATTAATGCAAGATGGAAGATCGTTAACTCAACCGAGCTCAGTCTGATTTATAAACAGGATCCTATTGAATGCTTTTGTTTCGTAAACACCTGATTTATCAAGCCTCGAAACTACCTTGCCGTAGCAGCTAATAGAAACTTCATTTCTAGTCGGAATTTATTGGCTCGTCAGACGACTTAATGGTGCAGTTAATCAATAAAGTGCTTTTAACTTTCCAACCGGCATCGCAAAAGGATTTTGTGGGATTTTAAGATTGACCTATTCCATTTCTATTCCGAAAAAGAACAAAAGTAGCTCGCTTTCAAAGACAAAGGCCTTTACCAAACCACGCTTCGAATTGGATAAAAAGTGAACAAATGGATACTCTATATAACTTCTTTAGTGTTTACGAAATATACGGTTTCTCGTATTTCTTACAGTGGGAAATTGTAAACCGCTAATGACCTTTTCTCCGACTTGTCGAAGTTTTGTGTGAAGACATTTATTGAATGTTGTATCAAAGCTATTATATTGTGCGCGCAGTTAAAATATACTCTTCTTTTTAACATGGTAGGAATAAGTATATATTCACATACATATAATCTCCGAGACAAAATCACGTTCACAGGGAAAATTACCACGAGGAACTTCAATAAATTCTGCAATTTCTGTCTGAATCGTTATGGTAGTGAGTATTTAGTTTGAGAGTAGGAATGAACAGAATTCACTTATAAACACCGTTAATTTCTATATACCTTGTGCCCATTTCTATAGACCTTCTGCGATCGAAGAAATGGATACGGCGAATGTGGCTGACACTCTAAGCATTCCATGTATAAAAAGTTCTTCTAACTGTCCTACTTTTATTTAGGAATGCCATGATTTTGAACGTGGGTGACCCCCAAGTTGTTTTCACGCTCCATCGATTTTCGGACTAAAAATGGGAGTTTTCATATAAAAAAGTTAACATTCACACGATATGAAAGCTTGTGAGGTCAAAATCAGTTACTGTCATAATCCCCGGTGTGTCTCACGTAATTTTGATCGTTAATGTTTTTCCCTATTGAAATTAAACACATTGATTATTAGAATACGCTAGCATTAATGTTAATTCTCTGTCTTTATATTCGATTCTGTTTATATCTACATATTACATACAGGGTGCCCAACAGTGACCACCCATTAGAATACTTCGGAAATTATTTCAATTTAAAGTAGGAAATTTGTACAATAGCGTTATTGTTGGTTATGTTCTCATCAATTAAAATAGCGATGTCTATGTAGCACTTCCGATTATATTAGCGGAAGTTGGGATCAACTTCGTTATTTTAAGTGGAACATCCTGTATATTATGACGGTTTTGAATTCTACTTAGTAAACATTCATGAGGCTTTCCTATATCTCAAATTTATCATTAGAAAAAAGTAGTACAGAGTAGCAGGTAGGTAGCGAAAAAGCACGTATATTTTACAGTAATGTATTTTAATAGCGTTATATAGAATTTTAGAAATGACTGTGAAATCTTTAGAAAAACTTCAAAACAGACAATACAAGTTAATTGTTAATCAAACGTATTGACATTTTAGTAATTAAATATTTTGATTCTGTAAAATATTGAATATTATTATCATTAAGAACGGAAAATAAAAATTCGTATTCATATTGAGAATTTTAAGAAATAAAATGCAATACATTAGACTGTAGATAACAACAGTAGTAAAAATAAAATTAGGTAATTAAAGATACCAGCTGATAATAATTAAATGCATTAACTTAATCGTTCGGTACGCTTGCATTTAGCTTTAAGCAATTATTTACCCTTCCGGTAACAGCTGGAACCATTAATTATTATCAGCTGATATCGTTAATCATTTAATTTTATTTACAGTTTAGTTGATTTTTGGACTGTTGTTATCTACTGTATTGCAATTAATTTCTTAAAAGTCTTCTTATTTTGAATTCGTTTTATTTTAATAATTATAATTTTCATTTGTCATTCTTAACAAAAATATTATTCAGTAACTGACATTGTAAATCAATATGTCTTATTATTAAACTGCCAGTGTTGAGTGACCAGAACTGGCTTGCACCATTTGTTTTGAAGTTCTGTTAAGAATTTCTCAGTCATCTTCGTAAAACGTTAAACAATTTTAGTTGTTTTCACGAAGAACAGTAAATGACGTGAAAATTAGAGGTGTGTATCAGGAACCAAAGGACCATTAATAAAATTCTGCATAAGGTTATGGAAATACATACAGGGTGTTCCATTT